AACATTGACACGGCCATAAACAGGCTAATTGCAGGCACTACAAATCTAAATTACACTTCATACAAACAAAATAGATTTCAGTTAACCATACCACTAATTGTCTTCCCCAACGTCCGCGCAACCCTCGCAACACAGCTGTCTCGCCTCTAAATGTAAACAAAGCAGTCACAAGCCCTCTCCTTCAAAGTCAAGCCACTTACCTAAGCCAGCTCACTCGCAGCACAAACCACCCAGCCTCGGTCCATGCCTCACCACCTCCTTCGCTCCCCCTACCCCATCCCCACCCCCAACCAACTTAACCCCTTTTTCTTTCCTTAATAAGCCCCCTTATTTAATACAGGTAGCTTATCTGCACTCACATCAGATGCCCCATATGCTATACATGTTTACATACCTACCCCACCTCACCTCCCACCCCACCCCCAAGGCCCCATTTACACTTATACCTACTATCGTTTAGTTTTAATCGCTACCTCTCTGTTATTAACTAATACTACGTGTATTTTTTCCTCTTTCCCTTTATAATCTCGGCTTTTTATTTATTTTCCTCTCATTTTTCTTAAACGTTTTTATAACTAAATTCTACCTAGGTTAATGCCCCATCATTTACATTTTTGGGGTATGGTGGTTTATTCCTTATTATAAACGTATTGATTATTATCCTAGATCCAACCTACCCCGTAGGCGACATTGGCTACAGCCAGGAGCCGACGTAAAACCTCAAATCATCATCAGCAGCATACATTGTCCTCTCCCACGTCCGCGCCCCTAGCAATCACTCCATCTAGATCCTGTTTCAACTATCACTCTCACCAACAATCTCCCACCTCTCCCCTCAGGCACGGACACCCACCCAATCTTCTTCACCAAACAAACTCGCCTTCTTTGCTCCCTCCCCCCCCCCCCCTTCTTTAAATCCTATTTGTTTACTTCTTAGGCCCCCTTATCTCTACTGCAATACAGCTTAACTGTATTATCTATACAAAGTCCACCTATGCTATACTTATTTCTCATTCCCTAGCAATTAGTTAACACTCCTTCTCTTAGTAAACCACAAACCACCTTTTGTTTTCCTTCCTTTTCCTTTATAAATTCGGCTTTTTGTTATTTTTCTCTTTTGTTCTAACGTTTCTATTAAAATTCATGTAGGTTAACGCCCCAGCATTTACATTTTTGGGGGTATGGTGGTTTATCCCTTATTATAACTTATTAATTATTATCGTGGCTCCAACCTACCCCGTCGACGAAATTGGCACCCGCCAGAAGCTGACGTAAAATCATCAAGCTCATCGTCGTCCTCACACATCACCCACTCTCTCATATAACCCAGTGCAACACCACCCAAGATCGTTTACTTACCACCATTACCTCTCAGATAACCTTTTGGGTCACTGAGTTATGTACTCGTGTGTTCATCTCAATTGGGTATCCTGATTTTCTTTTGAGTAACCAAATAAATTGTACTCACCTCACTCAAACTCAGTTTGGTGTTTTGCCATTTTCCATTAATTTGAAAACATAATAAAGTTTAAATGTTAGTGTTTGTTATATAAATTTGATCTGTAATATGAGCAACGATAAGAAAGACTGCAAATTGTCATGTTCATGTCCTGAAATAGAACCTCTCAATATACCTCAGTTATTTTATCTATCCACCGGTACGCAAGCTAAGATGTGACATTTTTGTGTGTACGCATGTAAGATCACATTTATTGAGCATTTACAAAAATTCAAGCGTAATTTACGCAGATACGCAGCTTATCTGTACCTCCACCCTCACAAACCCCTTACCGCCTTCTAGGCTCCCACCATACCCACCCACCCCCCACCCAATCTCAACCCTTTTTCCTTTCTTTATTAGGTCCCTTATTCATACCAGTACAGCTTACCTGTAACACCAAACTTAAGCCCAATTATGCTTTGCCACCCTACTATATCCCTCTCACCCCCACCCACCCAACCTTATTTACTATCTATTCAGTTCTAACACTTCTTCTTACCTAACAAACTGCTTTATCTTTTCGCTTTCCGTTTATAATTTCGGCTTTTACTTTATTTTCCATTATGTTATTCCAGGTAAGTTTAAAGCCCCTACGATTATATTTGTCGGGGTATGGTGGATTATTCCCTATTACTCCATTATTATATCATATATTTAAAACCCCACCTACATTGACACTACTAAAAGACTACGTTTAACCTCAAATTCAATCATTCTCCAGCCAAAGGTCAAGGCCAATCATCCCAGCTGAGCCACACTCGCAGTTATCGACACCTCTCCACGTACGGCCCCTATCTCACTGCCTTCAATGCTCCCTCTTCAACTCCACCTAACTTAACGCCTTTCTCCTTCCATACTAAGTCCCCTTATCTATAACATGCGGCTTAACTGCATCAAATTTATATAGCCCCACTATGCTTTACTTGTTCATAAAACTACCCTCCAACCCCCATGCATGGCCCCCATTTATACTCACTTTCAATTTTGTTATACCTCTATCAAGAGAAGAAATTTATAAATAGCAAATACTGCAGGGTTTTTTCACTTTCCCTTCATAATTTGGGCTTTTAATTATTTTCATCTCATGTTCTTACACGTTTATGTTCCAAATTCAGAAAAGTTAACTTCCCTTCACTTATATTTTTGGGTTATGGTGGTTTATTCCCCATTATTAACATATTTAGGAGATAAACCTAAATGAAAACTTTAGAGCTATTATAATTTCGTCATATACCTCTGATTTTCCCACACAGTAGGTTTATCTCCATGCTACCATGACAATTTTATGAACAATTTCAGTTAGAACTCTTTTTTTGGTTACGGGTCAATACGTGAAGCGGCCTCGCATTCCTATCTCAAGAGGCATCGCCCGAAACGGGATGATTGGTGGCAAACCGTCAATAACTAACAAACTCCAGATTCAGTAATAACAAATAACGTTTTGTTTTTTCAATGCATTAATAACCAATCATTAACTGATAAATTTGAAACCATATATCAAATAAGTTTAAAAGGCTTGGTTCACATTTGAAAATTCCACCGTCGACGCTTTCCCCACCAGAATAATGTCAGCAACCTCATGGCCTTGACCTTGTCTCGGAAGTCATTGTTTATGTTTACTTAGCATATTCGGAATTTGGAAAGATGCGACAGGAGAGCTTCTGACAGTTTGCGCAAGGTTAACCTGATTGTATGACTGAGATAGCATTTGATATCTAATTACTGGTACTGGTACAAAATTTAAGAGTAGAGGCGTTTTTGATGTAATGAGAAGTCTGCGTTGTGCCGAATTTAGATACTGTTGAATTTTGCGCCCTGTGATGATTTCACGAACCTCTACGTCTGCGTGACAGAAGAGTCACTGTGGTGGTGAATCTTACACACTCATGTGTGTACTTTGTGCTCAAATTCGATTCTACAGATATTATTTTCTACATTTTGGAAAGTGTTTTGTGACCTTGTGGCTTCAAAGTGTAGTGGATTCAAATTGAATCGGATTCGCTGGCATGTTCGCGAGGCTGTTGACAAAGAGCCAGATTTGTGGTGATATTTCCGAAAGGATGGAACATGACATGAGGATGTACCTCTGGCATAAACACGGTAAGGTAATCAATTATATTTTAATAGACTACTTTAGATCAAGCTACACTGCTTGGATAAAAGGGATCATGACAGATAAATCATTTTTTCAACGATATTATGTTTTTAGAAAAAAATATGTTGGACTTAACAGAACGGTTTTAAGTTAATTTTGCAGATTCTGTAAATGTGTTTTACTACCACTAAATTTGAAACCGTACAAAGTTCTAAAAAATATATCATTTTGTTTGAATTGATAACCAAACTGTTTATTATGCATTGACATAGTAGAGATGAAACCCCAGTGAGTGGAGCTAATACGCAGTTGCTGAGCTAGACAACCATGTTGCCATGCAGGCGTCATAGGGCATTGTTTCGAGAATGTGCTTTCGAACAAAATCACATTACATTACGTAAAAGGGTATTATGACGTATTTTTAAAGTTTGTGGTGCTGCATTCTAAAGGTAGGCCATTTATTTATGTGGACGGAAGGCATTAACATTTCTTCGGGTTCGATGTTAATGCATCCTCCGTTACCGGATCAAGATCAGTGGCGATATCGTTGACAAAAGCTGATAATAAACTTAAAAGATTATGTAGCAGTCAATTGCTTAATCTATTCTGACATAACATAGAATCAACGTAAATATATTTTTCTTGTTGGCTTTTTATGCAGAAAGCAGACGATGTTTTGATGTTGTTCGACTGAATATTTGTTTCCATGCTTTCGAAACTCTTTTGTATGTATAAACACCTATTGCATTGATTTACGCAAGTAGTGAGTCGAGCCCCTCCTCGCAAAATCCATCTTTAAAGACATATATGTAATTTCCGACAGCAAAATCGACGTAATTTATCAATGCATCGGTGTGTTGTTTGGTGTCCGCCATGTTGGTGTAGTGCATTACCGTAAACCATGTATAATTGCGCACGGAATATCAGAGACCTATATAACGTGATAATATACCTCTGAATGACTTTAATTAACCAATCACAATCCAGTGTTTATTGAAGTCATGGTAGAATCATTATCATATTAGCTCCCACCTACCCCGTCGGCGACATTGACTACAGTCAGAAGCCGACGTTAAACACTCATCATCATCATTATCATCATCATTATCTGACTCAAACCTGCTAAGACACCGAAACAAGAATCTGTATCGAAACGTCGCATCATCTGAATAAAGAAGTTGTTCATCCATAAAGTTTGTCCTTCACCAAACATGCCACTCAAAGACGTTAATGCATCATCATTCTGATATGTTATCATGTTGATACTCTTTATCTTGTGTAAAAGTGTATTCCAAATGTTTTATGTATATATTTTCTCTAACAAAACATGCGTTGATATATAAACCACACACTATTAAGATATGATTGCACATTTTAAAGATTAAATGGAATAAATGAAGTTACCTTTAAGCAAAGAAGTCGCTTTCCTGATGACAGAATTTGCTGAAAATATTCGACCCATTCCAAGCTGGAATCTGAAATGAATATTTCGTCAATTAGTTAGCAACATATTCAAACTCAGGTCACAGATTGGAGGAAAACCAAGCGAAAATTCAGAAATCAATTTGCCAGTAAATAGGTTTTCAAAGACCATTTGGCACCCTTGAAGAGCAACCTCCTCGTGGTGGGTGCTGGGTAACGATGATAGCTCTTCGCCTCGTGTGGACCCGGGGTCGAATGTATCCACAGCACTCATTGTTGGTTGTAGGATGCGACCGAATTGTACAACCTGTTTGCCATAGGTTGCACCCCTGCGTCGGTGGAGGACAGAATTCTGGTAGTTGAGTGCAAATGAGCCAGGAACCGTGTTTCTCTTGTCCAACACGCCACCTCGACACATACTTCACCTTGGGTAGAATAGGCCGGTACTATCAATCGGCTCGTTATAGGGGAAAATGTTGGTACATTAAAACTTTTTATTGGAATGTTCGTGCTGTTACCAAGGCTAAAGATTACGAACATTGCCAAGCTGCTCAACATATAGCACTTGATTGGCTACTGACCCAACAGTGTTGCCAGATGTGAACTTGGTCGTTATTCACTCATGATGAAACTCAAGGAGTTATTATTCACTATGGGCTTTGGATTGTCTTGGCTGGTACAAGGTGTCGAAAATGTTAACTGATTTCGGAATATGTTCAAACAACGATGTGTGGATATTGATACCAGTCATGGACTGATTATCTAGGGCAGTATTCTAAGTCGAAGTTTTATAGACAAATGAAAGAATTTCATGTGTATGAACGCTGTTTATCATCACTAAATGTTTCCGCTTATCGCATTGCCTGTTGTAATTACAAATTCCGTTGCTCAAATCATAATCTAATGATTGAAGTTGGTAGAAAATATAAGATTACACCAGAAGATAGATTATGTCCATTCTGTATAGTACCTGTGCAAGTTTCATATTTTATTACAGTGTCCATTTTACTCAGATCTGGGGGAAATATTTTGCCAAACTATTATTGTAAATCTCAATCTCCAAGCAGACGAGCCTCTAAAACGATGCCGTATCAAACTATCTTTGCAGTATGTTACAAAACTTTATTCAAATGAGTCAAACCATGCACACAAATGTGTGTTTAATTCCCTATATGAGGATCTGCATTAAAAAAAGTCTTCACTTATTCCGCCTCTAGGAATAATTGTAAAACCATATATTTTTGCTGCTAACATTGAGCTGGAAATTATATCTTCTTCACGTCTTCTTTCTTCCCCTCCTTGGCAATAAGTGAGGCCAGATGTTCAGACTCCCTCTCGTGTTTTCAGGCTATCACAAATCTATCTTGAAAATTTCCAGTTGTAATTGAAATTATTATCCCCCGCCGCGCGTTCAGTGCGAAGCGGGGGATATAGTATTAGGCTCCGTCCGTACGTACGTACGAATTGGACTATCTTAAGAACTCGATTCCTTTCATAATTGGTACCTAGGCTCATCACAGCATAAGAGTGAGTGAGTTAAAATTTATCGTCACATCGGCAATATTTCAGCCATATCGTGACGAGAACAATTAATTGGTACACATAGTAAGGAATAGTAAATTAAAAAAGCCTGCCTACGAAGGACAGTAAAATAACTAGATTATCACAGAGAATAATTTAAAAACTAGTAATTATATCTAAAACAGTTTAACTATAGTTGACAATACAATATAAAACCGGGCTATAGATTGCTAACAACTGAAGGTAGATCACCATACTAGGGACCATGGAGACTTACATTACCTTTGCTACCTGCATGGACCCTAGCTGGATTTACACCATACCTTCAGCCATTGGCGTTTATACCGAAAAGTAGCCATATAGTAAAATAACAAAATTTACTACGATTAAAAACCTGGTATACTTAAATGTACCTCTCAGGAGGACAATAATTTTACGCTACTTCAACCCCCTTTGAGGGCACAGCCACTAACAATCTCAGTTATTAATCTAAACTACCAACAATAAAATATTTCACTATTTACAGATCAGTAAGCAAATCTAATTATTTTAAAAATTCAACTATTAAATGATAATTAACATTGTAAAAAAGTTCCTTCAAAGTTTTGACATTGAAATATTTATCCCTTGTGATGGAATATTCAACACAGTCAAGCAGGACATGCTTGACCGTGATTCTTTCATCACAAGGGATACAAAACGGAGGATCCTCACCTTTTAATATGTACTCATGAGTATATCGTGTGTGGCCAATAAGACATTGTCGTATGATGACCTCTTCAAATCTGGACTGACAACCCAAGTAGCTGTAACCGATAGTTGGTTTTATTGCATGTAACTTATTGATACCTACTTGGGTATCCCACTTCTTCTGCATCAGATCACGGATGTAAGATCTGATAGCAAGCTTTGTAATCAGAGTATGGGATCAGAAGTGGTGTCACAGATTTGTTGAGTGCCGTCTTGGCAGCAATATCGGTCATTGTATTCCCAGAAATGCCAACGTGGCTGGGTAACCAACAGAAGACGATGTCGCATTGGCCAGTTGCAAGCTCATTATGCGATTCAATAATTTCTAATACAAGTGGATGCTTACAAGAAATATTTTTAATAGCCTGAAGGCAAGAAAGTGAGTCAGAAAAGATGATATATTGTTGATATTTAGGGTGTCTTGTAATATATTTTAAGGCTGTTAATATGGCGTTTTCTTCTGCTGTAAAAATAGAGCTGTTATCTGGTAAACGAGAAGATATTGTTCTGGATCCAATGACAGTGGCACAGGCCACCGCGCCGTCATCCTTGGACCCATCTGTAAATAAGGATTTACATGTATTATATTTACTTTTTAATTGATTATACTCTTGTTTATATTGTAATTCATTAGTTTCTGCTTTTTTAAATGCTGTTAGGTCAACTTGTGGCCTAACCAATTGCCAAGGAGGAGAAGAAAGAAGAAGGGAAGGAGCTATATTTTCCAGCTCAATGCCGGCAGCAGCAATAAATGGCTTAATTCTGAGCCCAAGAGGCGGAACAAGAGAAGGTTTTTTGTTATTCAAATCATCATAAAGAGGATTAAAGACAGTGAAATGCAGGATTAGACTCGTTAGAATATAATTTTGTAATATATTGTAAAGATAATGTTATACGTCGATGGTTAAGAGAAGGTTCATCTGCCTTGACGTAAAGACTGTCAACAGGAGAGGTTCTAAAAGACCCAAGACAAGTCTTAGGCCTTGGTGATGGACAGAATGTAGTAGTTTTAGGTTGCTTTTGCAGGCTCCACCATATACAATGGAGCCATAATCAAGCTTGGGGCGGACAAGTGATCTGTAAAGGTGTAGGAGCGTAGCTTGGTCCCCTCCCCACCTTGAATTAGACACGACTTTCAATAAATCGAGTGCCTTCAGGCATTTAGTTTTTAGAGATTTGATATGCGGAAGAAAAGTTAAATGGGAGTCGAAAATGTGACCTAAGAACTTGGCCTCTTTTACAACCTTGATGGGAGTGCCATTTAAAAACAGTTCTGGGTCTTCATGTGGTTTATATTTGCGGCAGAAATGTATGCAATTAGTTTTTGATTCAGAAAATTTAAAGCCGTTTTCAAGACACCATTTATTTATTTTGTTTAAACACAACTGTAGTTGTCGTTCAATGGTATGCATATTCTTACCGTGACAAGAAATATTAAAATCATCCACAAAAAGTGATCCATCGATAGAATCATTTAAAACCTTGGATGAACTGTTGATCTTAATGCTAAACAATGTGACAGACAAAATACTGCCTTGTGGTACACTCTGATCCTGATTATAATGGTCAGACAGAGTTGAACCCACTCGGACTTGAAATTGCCTGTCTTTTAAAAACTGTGATATAAAAAGAGGTAAACGACCCCTTAAACCAAAATCATGTAAAGCCTTTAAAATGCCATGTTTCCGGGTGGTATCGTACGGTTTTTCGAGATCAAAGAATATCGATACTGCATGTTGTTTATTGACTATAGCATTTTTGACAAAGGATTCTAATCGTACCAAATGATCAATGGTACTACGATTTTTCCTGAAACCACATTGAATATTTGTTACGAGATTATTGGTTTCAAGATACCATGTTAATCGATTATTTACTATTCGTTCCATGGTTTTACAGACGCCACTCGTTAAAGAGATTGGCCTGTAATTTGACGGATCAGTATGATCCCGGCCAGGCTTTGGTATAGGGACTACTATGGCTTTACGCCACGAAGTTGGGAAATTCCCTGAAGTTCATATTGTATCAAAAATATTTAGAAGTGTTTCCAAACATGAATCAGGTAAATGTTTCAAGAGCTGATAGTGTATATTATCAGCTCCTGTTGCTGTATCATGAGCTTGCTCAAGGGCAGTACGTAACTCATGCATTGAAAATAATTCATTGTAGTCTTCTCCATTGTCTGATGTAAAATGTATTCTTTTCTTCTTCTGTTGTTTCTGATGTTCTGAAACTCAGGGACATAATTGGACGAAGACGAATGTTTGGCGAGAGTTTCACCAAGCTTATTGGCAATGTCAGCCTTACCAGTTAACAAATTATCACCGTCCTTTAAATGATGAACTGTAGATTTGGAACCTTTGCCCTTTATTCTTTGTATCATGTTCCACACCTTTGACATCGGTGTTCGAGAATTTATTTTGGAAACATAGTTTCGCCAAGACTGACGCTTATTCTGTTTAAAACTGCGTCGCGCCTTGGCATTTAACATTTTAAATTTATCTAAATTATGGACAGCAGGATGGCGGCGAAAATATGTTTCTGCTTTCTTCCTACACTTCCTGGCCTGTTTACATTCGTTATTGAACCATGGTTTACGAATATGTGGAACCGCAGAGGACTGAGGAATTGTTCTGTCAGCAATGCCATTAAGGATATCAGAAAACGACTGAATAGGATCTTCACTGTTCCTAAAACGATCACGAGTTAATTGTTCAGCACACAGAGTCTCATATAATGACCAGTCAGCCCTGGCAAAGTTCCTTCTCGATAAAGGTGGATCATCACCAGGGTTAACTGTTTTGAGAATGGTGGGGAAGTGATCACTCCCACACAGATCATCATGGACCATCCATTCGAATTCATTATACAAGGTTGAATCGGTGAGTGATAAATCCAGGGAAGAATATGTTCCCGTAGCTGGATGTAGATAAGTGGCTGAGTCGTCGTTGAAAATACATAAATTGTTATCGGAAATGAATTCTTCAAGGATTTTACCTTTGGTATTAATATGAGCATTTCCCCAAAGCGGGTTGTGTCCATTAAGATCGCCCATGATGAGACATGGCTTCGGAAGTTGATCAAATAGATTTTGAAGATCGGACTTTTGAATATTGGAAGAAGGAGGTATGTACAAGCTACACAATGTCAGTGCAATGTGCAGGGTCAGACGAACAGCAACAACTTGAAGATCTGTATTTAGAGTGACAGGGCTATGAATGACACTCTGATGTACCAAAATAGAAGCGCCTCCAGTAGCTTTATCGCCTGGAGGGGAAAAAGAATGATAATCATTATACCTTCTGAGGTCAAAGTTATCAGTATTTTTAAGATAGGTCTCCTGGAGACACAATGCTGACGGTTGAAGATCTTGTATAAGTAAGTGTATTTCATTGAAGTTATTCCTCAGTCCTCTGCAATTCCACTGAATTAGATTGGTCAAGTGATTCATGGTGGCTTAATTGGAGTGAGTCCACGTGGATGTGAGGAGGAACTATTTCCCCGCCTGTCCTGTGAGGACAGTGTAACCTCCATATCTAGAGGTGCAAATGTATTCTGTGTTAAAACATCATGAGATGAAGGGACAATGGGTTGTTTGTCTCCATTTAATCTCTTTTTTTTCTTCTGTTTTGAAGTTTCACTTACTGGTTTAGAAACAGTCGTTTCAGCTTGATGCTCATTGTGATTTTCTGTTTGAGAAGCAGACGTAGAGTGTGTGACTTTCGGAATACTCTGAAGGGCTGAAGCAGAAGGAATTGGTTTAGGTGATGTAACCTATGTCAAGTCGGTCTGACAGGAAACGGAGGACGTTGCTACAGAGCGGGTGACTGCAGCAGAGTAGGTCAGATTTGATGGAGTCTGAGTTGATGGAGTGAACAGTTTCTTTGCCTCAAGGTATGAAATATTGTTTTGGCATTTGATTTTCAATATCTGTGATTCCCGTTGATACACGGGACATGACCTTGATGAGGCAGAATGGGGACCATTACAATTGGCGAACTTATACTCTTACTCACAGTCAGAACCATCATGTCGATCACCACAACGATGGCAGACTGAGGAGTTGCGACAGGATTGCGAGCCATGCCCGAAATGTTGACATTTAAAACAACGGAGTGGACTGGGGACATACACATCCACTCCGATGTTGAAATAACCAGCTTTGATAGACTTTGGTAGAGATGATCGGTCAAAAGTCAGTAGATACGTGTTAGTTTTCACAATAATTCCTTCTGTCTTAATCGTAAAACGTTTCACTGCAGATACACCTTGATCTGCCAACTCTGAAGCATTGTCCTCCTCTGACATATCAGCGAGACAACGTGCTCTGTCTCGGATAATGCCACGACAAGAGTTAGGCGTCCTGTGCACAGATACAGCAACCTCTATGTTTGCAAATGTCTTGATCGACAACAGATTCAGAGATTGCTGCTTCCGTGCACACTCGACAAGAAGCGAGCCACTACGGAGACGGGTAACATTTGTAACTTCTCCACAAATTCCGGAAATGGCCTTTGAAATTGCAAAGGGATTAAGTTTAAGTGGAAGAAAGTCCGAAACCTCAATAACAACAAATCTAGCCCATGAGTCACTGTTAGAAGACACATGTCCAGTAGAGAGATCTAATTCCTCTAAGCGTCTCTTTTTTTCATTTCTAGTTGAACCAGATAGTGGAAGTGCCATGATGAAAGGAAAAATATTCAGCACCCCTGCTCCCCACCCACCACGGAGTGTCAACAAGGACAGTGTCAAATAGCACCGGATATCCAGGATGCCGACACCAGGGATACAGGGTCGTTATACTCCAGAGAAAACAACACAAACAGCTGCATTTGTCTACCAATTACATGCCCGACTGGTTCGGCCCAAGACAATAAATTAGAGACATGCATCATTTGGCGGTCATTATCACCAGATTGGCCCATGAGCCACCGCCTTCTGGCAGAGGACTCTAGGCAAATGTATATAATACTATAAGTTTGAAATGCAACATTCGATATCAGCATTATGTAAATGTACATTAACATAAATTTGAATGTTGTCCATGCACAGGGCATGGCGTGCCCAGCCGATTGGTAGAATCGAGCCAGTTCTACCACCCGTCTAGGTGAAGTTAGGGCCGAAGTGGTGTGTTGGGCAAAGGAACGCTGTTCCTGGCACCTATGCCCTCAACCACCAGAATCCCTTCCTCCACCGACACAGGGGCGTAACCCACGGCAAACGGGTTGGTGGACCAAATATCCCCCCGGGTCCACAACGGGGGGTTGAAGTTCGCTTAGCGTGACCCAGCACCCACCACGAGGAGGTGGCCCTTCACGGGTGCCCACTCAAGAACCGTTCACTGGATTTTCTTCATATTTAAGACCAAGCTTTATCTAGGGAAGGTGCAGGGCCCAGTCTATTTTGGCGACCTTCACTTAATTTTTCAAGGTTACAGAGACACTTTGAAGATTTCAGCATATTAACCTGCAGGTTATGCTTGTCAGTGAGATACCTCAAGAACCATTCACTGGAGTTTCTTCATATAAGAAACCAAGCTTTATCCAGTGCTGGCGCAGGACCCAGTAGATTTTGGTGACCTTCACTTAATTTTCAAGGTCACAGAGATACTTTGAAGATTTCAACATGTTAACCCGAATTGTCAGCAAGATATTTCAAAAACGTTTCACTGGATATTTCTTAAATGACTCCCCTTAAATCTTTTTCAAAAAGCAATTTCTTTAGTACTATTTTTGCATATTTCATTCACTATGACATTCATGTCAAGGTCAAAGTCAGTCTTGAAAATATATGTGTGTTTGAACACCTAAAGAGCAAGATATCAAGAGAGATTGACTGGTCATGTTTTTGTTGCCATTTAACTTAAACTTTCATTACTTTATAACTTTGATTTGATAATTTGCGGCGGGGGATTATGTCACCTTAGTGAAAATTCTTGTTGATAATACAATGATCTTGCAACTGGCCAATATGACATCGTCTTTTTCTGGTTACCAAGGCATGTTGGAATCAATGGTTACAAGATGGCTTATGCTGCTCCTAAGGCAGCACTCAACAAATATGTGACACCACTTCTGATTCCATACTGTGATTACAAAGCTAATATTATATCTTACATCTGTGATCTGATGCAGAAGAAGTGGGTCACCCAAGTAGGTATTAATAAATTACATGAACTAAGACCCTATATTGGTTACACCTACTTGGATTGTCAGTCCAGATTTGAGAAGTTCAGTATACGCCGTTGTCATATTGGCCATTCAAAATATACACATGGCTATTTGCTTAAAGGCGAGGGTCCTCCATTTTGCATACCATGTGATGAAAGAATCACACTCAATCATGTTCTGCTTATCTGTATTGTTTTTTACATTACAAGGAAAACATTTTCAGTGTTAAAGTGTTAAGGATCTTTTTAATAATGTTTAGTATCATTTTATTATCGAATTTTTAAAAGAAATAGAACTGATTGATAGATTTTGATTCATATATTTTGTAGATAAGTCCAATTTTATTATTGGTGGTTCAAATTAAAAACTGAGCTTCTGAGAGGATTAACGTATTCTAAAATTATTGTCCTCCTGAGAGGATACGTAAGTCCCAAAACATTTAAAGTAAATTTTGATCTACCACATTGTTGAATCGTAGTATTATTGTTATTTTAATTTGTGGCTGAATCTATGCACAATTGCCAAAAGCTGAAGGGGTGGTGTAAATCCAGTGAGAATCCATGCAGGTTTCAAAAGTACTGTACAAGTCCCCATGGACCCTAGTATGGTGATCTGCCTTGATTTGTTGGCGATCTACAGCATATTTATGTATTGTATTGTCCAAATAGTGCTATTAACTTTAACATAACATGCTAGTTTTAATTCTAACTGTGAAAGTGTAGTTTTTTACTGTCCTTTGACGACAGGTTTTATCATATACACACATTTTTTAGCATCGTCAAAATTGTTCTCGTCACGATATGGCTGACACATTGCCGATGTGACGTTAAATATTAACTCACTCACTCACTCAAAGGCGATTTGGCATGTCAAACAAGACACTTTGCAGATATTCACCGTTATTGACACTAAAGGTCTGAATTAGTACCCCAGTAACACCTTCCGTTTTCAATATGATAAGTAATATCTCAGAAATTATTCATATTTACCCAAGTTTGGCCTTTTCTAAGTGTGAGAATGCTTGCTTAGGATATTTGGCTATTTTGTCCATCAGTTTGGTTGCTGTGTTGACACTGTCCATTATTTCCTTTTCTCCCACTGGCAAGGCCACGATACTTTCAGCAGATAGTTTCTGTAATTTCCAAATATACATGCTTTTATTATGTTTCAAAACACGAGCCGCATCTTCCCCTTTTTCATTTTAATGCCCCAAACCCTCCACATAAGAAACATGTATCAAGAGCCATTTTGAGTTTACCAAGTGTCTGTTGACCTCACAAATTGATGTTTTGTTTGTTTTTGTTTTTGTTTCGCACTGTATTCGAACAGTAATCGAGCTGTATGAAAGCTGTATGTAAAGAAGAGTTTGCAAAATATTCTATTTTTGTGAGCCTAACAAATGCATGTAACAGACAAGTGGTATTATTATATTATTGCGACGTAGAGATACCGTCTTACCATGTAGAAATTCAGGGCATCAGTGTTTATTCCTTCTACCAATGCTTGTGCATGATTCACAGCTTGCTGAAGACGAGTCACCCAAGGCATACCCTGGAACTGCTGAGTCAGCATATTTAGTTTCAAAACCGAGGAGAGGGCCGCATCTGTTTTCACTGGTAGATCCTTTACTGCGTTTGCAAGAGGCTCAAAGTTGCTCTTCGTTGTTTTGCCATCAGGTTCCAAAAACTGAGAGGTCATCTTAGTGGCTACATCAGTTATGGGCTTCATGATTTGTTTTGCCATGCTATCGAAGACCCCTGTAATGTTTTGGGCTAACCCAACGCTTATGTCCTGAAGTGGAAATTAGTTTTTGTCATAGGAATGTAACATTTGCTGGGTTTAAACAAAACATGAAAGGAAAAACTCGATTAGATTTTATACCTACCTTAAGCATGTTTGCATTGTACTCCAGTCTACCCTTGTAACAAATTTCAACGCGGAAGATGTCGAAGAAAAACTTCATCAAGCTGATGTGTACCTCGGCCCATACTTTGTTATCGATATCGATATCCACAAAACCGCTTAGAGGCCCTGAAAGTAGATAGATAGTGAGAAACAATATGTGTAATTGAGAGTGATACATGTTTGCATCTTATGGACGAACAGAAGCTGTTTCTAATTTAAATACACATGCATTGGTTTCAGTAACAGGGACGTTGTTTCAAACAAGGTAAAAATGGTTAGTGGTTGAACTACTAGACAGGAAAAACGTAATACATAGCGCAACTTGGTTACCTGGGTTTAAGCAAAATGCTATAAATGTAATGCTTTGCTGATACAAACTTATTTACAAGAGAGAATGTCGACAACGCAAGTCAGCCTATATTTGTGATCGTCCTTTTCAAATGCTGTTTGATAGCTAGAACCAGGAACCAACATACTATCATTATGCATTTTACACAACTTACGGAAAACTGCTGATATTTCATTTTGAAACAGGACACCGAAACTGGCCCCAATGTCACTGTTCCCTATCTCTTTTTTCCAATCCGCGCCAGGCAAAGCTAATCTAAACTGGAAGAGAACAGCATCTGACACACTTCTCCTCATTCTGGCAATTACTGGCCATGTGTAAGAGTGGCTGAAACAAAAAGGAAAATACCAGTTTCAGGAAATACCCTCAGATCATCAAGATTTAAGTATTTAAAACAGCTGTGGGAAAAAAAATGAACTGTTGTAATGGTTATTAACACATTATTAGTCTATTATAATATATTTCGCTGTACGTGTTTGTGGACTATCCTGTACCTCAGCATGATGTCCTCTTGTTCACGTGTTATGTTGTTTGCCCTTGGGTGCTTGAGGTACAGGTATCTGGCTGCTCGTCTAACACTCTGCTTGTCGTCTCCAAGAGCACTCTCAAGCAATGCTCCCGCACTCTGTTAAAATGTTATCAAAATTCTCAAGTCGTGTCGTGTTGAGTATAAATGATTGCAACTGAGCAGCTGTAGAGCATACTGTAACTGACTGAGAAGGATAACTGGAAATGTAAACAGCAATCATTTACTTTGAGTTTTATACTTATAAAGGCTTTGAGGTTATCTGTAGGAATTATTATTCATTATTACATTAGGTCATTTAAATTTGTTTAATAAATCTAATATTGACAGTGGCTCGATATTAGGGGTGGGTATTGCAAGGAATTTTCATATTGGGATAAATTGCGATGCGAAAGCATGTATGGCGTTATGTATTGCAATAAATTGCAAAAAGTTTCCTTTAACAAAAACATACGTATAATCGAGTTAATCCTTGATCTATAATCATGACAAAATAAAATGTAAATAATGTTTGGCACAAATAAAACAAGGAAAGGAACAATTTATAAAACGGAAATATCCGAAGATTTCCGAGTGTTACGAAGTTTTTCGAATGCATGTTAAAATACCGGTTTTCGATCAGCGTATCGTTTTCATGTCTGAACCGGTAAATACCGGTAAACCGGTTATATTGCGCAGCCCTACTGGATATATACATACCTATGCATGTTACATACAGATTACATGCTTATATATAATGATTGATAATGACATTTCTGACTATCACATGTAACAACTGGAAGGTTCCTTTGCATAAAAGAAACTTTAAGTTTGTTGTTCTTGGTTGCTCTTTTACCTGGTTACACCGATAGTGCCTTAGTGCCTCAACTGCTGCACGTCGCCAGTCGTGGTGACCGTGTCCAGGTGAAGTAAGGGAGATAATTCTGTTAAGTGATTGTGGATGACCAGCATTTCCAAGGCTGTGGAGCAGTATCTTCTTGGAGATAATGTAGTGACTATCCTTTTCAATACGGACTGACCTTTTGTGTCTGTAGTGAGGATCTACGAACATAGAGCATACACTTTGAAGTAACGATGTATATCTTTGGGCCAAGTATATCTCAGCTGAGTGTGTGAGTCGTCTACTCAGAGACGACCCTTTAGCATGAGGTAATGGTAAGCCGGGAACAATGCCCACCCAGACACATAAAACCCTCTTTGTACCACCCATGCCTTCATTGCATTAGTGCCCAACATGTTCGAACATGATGGTTTAAAACTGCAGCGTTATATACTGAACCGCAAAAGAAACGTCACCTTCAAAACAAGATGCAACATTGTGTCCTCACAAGGTGGTGTTTTTATTATGTTTATACCGTTTTGTTAACATCCTTTTCAATCCAAATTGACAGCTATTACCAACATCAGTGTGTATTCTGATACAAAAGCATATCGACGAAACGCACCTAAAAGGCAGGCGTGGTAAAAGGTTCTGAATAACATTCGTGAAAATGGAAATGCAGTGCATATAGCCACACACATACCAATGAAAGCGACTCAAAAAACGCCTGAAATAGTCTTGTTTTGACACAATCGCCATGTCACGACTTACGAGAGATCAGAGGACAATCTACCATCCGCAGGAGAGGTATCAGGTCACTAACAGCATCCAAGACAGTCCACGCAGATGACGACCTTAAGTAACACCACAACGTCAATTGACAGATTGTGCGCAACCATCGCTTCACCAGAGCGACGGAAACACCACGCCAGTCCCATTAGTGACAATGCAGTGCGTCGACGTTTGCGTGGAAGAAACCTCTGCTGTCACAGACCATATCGTGGTCCTGTCCTGACCGCTCGTCACCGCCAAAACAGACTGCAATGGGCAACTCAGCATCGAAATAGGAGTTATCCACAATAGAGAACTGTGCATTTTTCTGATGAGAGCAGATATTGTGTTTCGACAGCCGATGGCAGAGTGAGAGTATGGCCAAGGCGAGAGAAACGGTTTTCCAATGAGTGTATTGTTGAAAGAGAATCGTGGGGCGGTCCAAGCATCATGGTGTGAGGTGCAATTGGTCTGAACCACAGAGTTGGCACCGTGGTGTTCTAGAATCTCAGTCCAGGATGAGGAAATAGCGTGACAGCTGCTCGCTATATTGACCCAAGTCATAAGAACCCATGTTGTACCATGGACGTCACAGAAATCACATGGCGGAGCAACTTGGACAACATGGCATCCAAACCTTACAATGGCCAGCACCCAGTGTACATTTTAAGTCCAATAGAACGCCTTTGGGACGAGACTCAAAGAAGACTGAATGACCTCCAACCAAGGCCAACAACTGCGGCTGGACTCGATCGAGCATTGGCATAGCATGGATACACGGGCCTATCGCCTTCATCATCCGGATATTTTTTTTTATGTACAGGCGATGCAACGCCGTCATTGATATCCATGGAGGCCAGTAGTAAGACGAAGGCGGAAACGGACCACTTCCCCTCATGGTGACCCCTTCGAAACTCGCGTAAGGATTTGTTGCTCTCTGTATATAAATCACGCAAACATCACGGAGTTTTACCCCCTGTTACAATTTCAACATCTTCGTTTGGAGATGCCTCCCTAAGCAAGACTTCGATATATAGCGTAGAACGTGGTGGCATCGTTTCTAAGATACTGAACACAGTATCGAAGGTTGGAGCGTCGGTCGACTCGATAGCATATGACATGCCTTTCCCGATATGGTTCTCACAAGTACACTCGTTCTTTGCGATGGGACGTAAGCCCCGAGTAGAATCCCATTATTGATTACTTTCGTTACATAATGATCCTTATTCTCCGTAAACACATAGGTAGAAACGAGGGTGATATTGAGTACCCAGTCTATTTGGGGTGATATCATCATCCATTGGTAATCATCGGTAAGGATAAGATGGCAGAACGTGTTTTTTGAGAGACCGCTGGTCTCAACATCGTTTAAATCACCGAGACCACCATCTAATGCTGCATCCGTTTAATATTGTTGTTACGGACGAGATTGTATTGAATGTTGTATATGAGTCCCCGGTATCGACATCGTTTAGATCTCCAAGGTTACCACCACCACAGCAAAAATAACAAGGATTCCAGATTTTTGGAAACCTACATGAAACGGGACAATGTCAGAATCATGTAGGTGTTTGTTCACGGAAACTATGATTGTTGGTTTCGGGAAGTTTTCATTGATGGTCTCCATAAGTGAGAATTTGAATGAAACGATCGTAGAAAAATACATATGACTCCATATATATATAAGAAAACGGAAACATAATTGAAAGAATATGGATACTTAAGATTCTACTCAGTCTCCTTTACGTTTTGTTTGCTGAACTTACGGAAATTTATATGTTACTGAGAAACTGGTTTGGCTCCATTGGATTTCAGCTACCAATTGGGTTTCCGGTTGTTATATTTCTTTCTGGAAAGATACGATGCATATCACGATATGTTTACTTTAGTTAGTTTTTAATAGCAACACAAGTGACAGCGTAAATTTTGACATAACCGCCAAAAGCCAGTGAAAATTAACAATTTTAAGGCAAACGACACATATCGCGATACGGAAAAACGTATCGATATATTTATCGTTAGATAAAGTATCACGATTATCGATACCATGATATATCGTCAGTCTGTACCCGTCTGTATGTCTGGCTGTACGCCGTTGTCTATTGATATGTGTTTAGTGCGTGCGTGCGTGCCTGCATGTATGTATGAGAATAAGAAAGACCACCTGATCTGTTTCATATAACTCGAGTTAACCTTTGATGGTATACAATGTACATCATTACAGAGTCACTATGGTCATATGACAACATGGGGTATTCTTTCACTTCTTTTGAGTAGTAGATGTTTCTCTTTTTGTGTCGGAGGGTTGGGTAGCCTAGTGGTTAAAGCGTTCGCTCGTCACACCGAAGACCCAGGGTCGATTCCAAGCATGGGTGCAATGTGTGAGGCCCATGTCTGGTACCCCGAGTAGTAATGTTGCTGGACTATTGCTAAAGGGGGCGTAAAATCATACTCACTCACTCTGCGTGTGTCGAGTGTTTGAGACTGGATGTGTGTACCGGTCTGTACCTGTCTGTACGTGTATCTGTCAGTTTGTATGTCCCGATCTACGCCTCGTGTAGAGTTGTAAGACGAGCTATTTAAGTGCCACATGCTGCTGATACATACTGGTAGAAGTAGCTGGGAGTGGTTATGCACATAAAACATAACTGTACAAAAAAGGACAATGTGTCCGTGAATGTTAACGAAGAGAATTTAGTTTTTTGAAAGCAGCATACTAGTAATACAAGCCACAACACTGACTGACTGAGTTTGGTTTTACGCCGCTTTTAGCAATATTCCCGCAACATCACGGCGAGGGACACCGGAAATGGGCTTCATACGTTGTACCCATGTGGGGATTCGAACCCGGGTCTTCGGCGTGACGAGCCAACGCCTTAACCACTAGGCTACCCCACCGCCCCAAGCCACAACAAATTATACAGCAGACATAAAACAGTTTTAAGTTTAACTTCATTTGCCAGTGGTAACAACTGTCAGGATTAAAAGAAAATGAAGTCAATGTACGTCTAAATATGTTTGCCTTATAATCCTAGCATAATTAATTGAATATTATATTTTTATATGCCCTTTCGAACCCCATAAAGTAGTACACGATCTGTCTTCAGTGAATTTATAAAAGGACTGTAGTTTCTAGATATGTTATAGAATACTTAAAATTGTTGCAGATATAAACGAAAATTTGCTGTCAAGTAAACAATTAAATAGTGTGGACTTACTGGAACGAAAAAATCTATACAATGTTATTAAAGAACCTACTAGAATGACTAGAACCACTGCTACGCTAATAGACCCTGTGACAGTAAGTGAGGACATATCTATTCGAGACAGCGGTGTTGTTGAATTGGATAAGAAAGTTAGTGATCATAGAGGAACTTAGATTTCGTTAGACATAAATGTCAACACCAAAATGTGTTTTACTAGACAAGTATGGTGTTACAAAACTGGTAATTACGATAAACTCAACATTCATATCGAAAATACCGATTGGTTTGATATGTTTAACAACTGTGAATGTGTTGATGATGCATGTAAAGTCTTCCACGATGTTTTCATAGGATATGTTAGTTCATGTGTATATTCTAAAACTGTAACGATTCGTCCTAGTTCGATACTGAGTTGAGACGGGAATGCAGAAAACAGGATAGAATGAGAAAGAAAGCAAAAAGAACTGATAGTGAAAGAGATATTCAATTGTATAAGAAAGAGACAAATAAAGTTAACAATATGAAATACCATGCAAAAGAGTATTTTTATTCCAATCTTGATGATTTTATCACTGAATTACACTTTAACAATAAACCCTCCTACTGGAAAATGCTGCGATATGTTATAAAACATTCAGGTACAGCAACTTGCATTCCCCCTCTCAAACAATATCCTAATGATGATGACCCGTCGCTTTTCTCAGATATTGATAAAGCTGAATTTTTAAATAACCACCTTGCCTCGATCTCCTGTGTAAATGACGAGAATATGGCTCCTCCTCCATTTGATAGACGTACAAAATCCACTTTAGAATTTATAACAGTGACTAAACAGGAAATTACAGATATAATTAAATGTTTGCCACTGAATAAAGCTGCGGGTCCCGACAGAATAAGTCATAAGCTTTTAAAAGAAACTGTTCATTCAATAAGTGCGCCATTATGTTTGCTTTTTGAATTGCCATTACGAAAAGGTGTGTATCCATCAGAATGGAAATTAGAACATGTAATGCCTGAATTCAAGAAAGGTGACAAAACTAAAGCATCAAACTACAGACCGATATCCCTTATAAGTTGTGTCGGTAAACTGTTTAAGAGAGCTGTATTTAAGCATATATCTAACTATTTCAACGAGAACAAGTTATTGTACAAATACCAAGCTGGTTTTTCAAGCTGGGAGTTCACCTGTCCATCAATTAATTGAAATATATCATCAAATATGCCAAGCTCTAGATGATAAGGAC